ATCGCTGTTGCATTGACAGTTTCTCCTGTCCTCCTCCACTCCAAATTTTGCAGTATTTCCTAAAACTACAATGAGAACTGCAGCACTGCTAAAACACAGATATTATGGCTCTTTTAGACATTCTGGCAACTATAAGAACATGTCAGACCTCATTAGATTATAGTAGACTTTTTTTTCACTGTGAGTTAAGCAGAATAGGTTGACATGCATTTGCTAATTAAGGCCCATGCTTACACTAGTGCGTTTTAGTTTTAAAACACCATTTTAGATCAAAAATGATTTACGTCCACACTATCGTTTCAACTAGTGTTTCTGAACATATCTCCGTCCACACTACGCCACCAAAAATGTATATCACGTGACCATTCGTGCACTCTGGGCATGCGCGTTCTAGTATAAATAGGAAGCATGCGTCTCGCTCAGCATTTGGTTATTATTAGTCAACAAACGTTGGTTGAACAATGAACGCAATGGCAAAGAAAGCAAGAGAGGTATTTTTGTGGACAGATGACGAGGTTGAGTTGTTACTAAACGAATTTACAAATGAATAACTGCACAATGGCGCCTAAAACAGACAATAGTGCAAACAACGCTCCCATTTCTGTGTCCATGTTGTTGTTTACAGTGAAGGTTGGTCTGCTGTCTTCCGGTAGCGTTAAAGCCATGTGTAATAGTCATGTGATCACGGAGCAGCAGAGTTTCAGAATGCTCCGCTTTCGGTGCTTAAAAACTCCGGCGTAGTGTGGACGGATGGCGCAACCGTAGCAAAACTTATAAACAGGGCCAAAGTCTGTTCGGGAACCATCAAAATGTGTGGCATACCCAATTCACCTGTACCACATGTCTTTGGACTTATGGGGGAAACCGGAGCACCCGAAGGAAACCAACGCAAACACAGGGAGAACGTGCAAACTCCACACAGAAATGCCAGCTGATCCAGCTAAGGCTCAAACCAGCGACCTTCTTGCTGTGAGGCAAAAGTGCTACCCACTGCGCCACCGCGTCGCCTGTTTCTTTTTTAATGAGTTTTTTTTTTTTAAAAGTCATTATTTTAGAAAAATAGACTATGCTGCAGTAAGTGAGTTTTTACTTAATAAAATAAATTACATATGCCTTAGAACAGAGGTGGCCAATCCTGTTCCTGGAGATCTACCTTCCTGCAGATTTCAGTTGCAACCCTTATCAAACACACCTGTCTGTAATTATCAAGTGGATTTCAGGTCCTAATTAATTGGTTCAGGTGGGTTTGATCAGGGTAGGAGCTAAACTGTACAGGAAGGTAGATCTCCAGGAACAGGATTGAGCACCCCTGCCTTAGAATATGAAAATGAAATGCAATAAAGGAGCGAACCACTCTTTGGGAGCACAGACACTAATTACAGTTCTAGGAGATGTTAATACTGGACAATTTAGATGACATACTTTGACTAAGGCATTTCAGAATGACTGAAACAACATTTCAGATGTTGTACAATGTGGTCGGTCAGCTGGTTTGTCCATTAATGTAATCCCATTGCACCCATTTTTCATAATCAGTTAAAATGATCAGTTAAAATAAAACCGTGACTACTTTGTTGTGCATGTTAAAATGTAAAGTTTATGCATTATATATTTTATGATTGGAATACAGTTCATGCATATATTTCTAATTGTTTAAAAAGTTTATCCTACTCAGACGTGTTCATTTAAGTTTTTATTCTCATTTTTAAAATGTATGCACATTTTGGCATTTCCAGTAAGCTTTTTTTTTCTTTGCAATATTCCAAAATGAGCATAAAAATAGGTGAATAGAAACTATACAGTGATACTATACTACTACTCTAATGGCAAATAGTTGACGTACTGATACAGTACATTTGCAGAATGTCTAAAGGAGACTATCAAAATAGAGTATAACCAGCCATTACCTTTAATGACTGCTCAGAATGGAAGAATATCTGAGTAAAAAAAAAAAAGTGTAACATTCTGCAAGTGAGACTCTGTACTGTCCGTGGAGGTGTTGTTGAAGTGATGACTCCCTAGGTGAGAGTGCTATTGACCTGTCAGTGTCTGTGAGGCCTTTAACGGCCTTTCGAGCTGTTTTAGCACCTTCATGCTTGGAAATGTGCCCTGTTCCATCAGAATGTCATAAATATGCAACTTCGACACATTGGCCAATCCAAACAAGTGTTAGACAATGTTGAATATCAAGGTACAAGATCAACATAGGACCTGACAGGCTGGTAACTACAGAGCCATAACCATGCACTAACATGGATGTAATCAGGATGTATTTTTGCAGAGTCATGTAAGAAAAGGGTAGTTAATATTGAGCTGTAGTTGCTCTTAGGCAGAACTAGGTAGGGAAATTTTGGAGTCAATCACCTGGGGCCTCATGTACAAAGACTTGCTTTGAATTAATACTTAAACATTGTGTAAGGACAAAGCTGTAATTGTGCATACGCAGTAAAAAAAATCTGATGTATGAAACACTGCACACGCAGAATCCCAAGCATATTCTATTTGTTCATCCGAATTTACGTGAAATTGAGAGCAGCACGCACAAGCGCAAACCCTCTCCTTGCCTCCCCCCTGTATGAATATGGTAATGACTCCACTTTTGGAAAAACCAAACGAGAAAGCATTGGCAAATGCAAGCAAGAAGAGAAACTTCACAGAATGTGAATTGTAAGTGCTCCTATCGGAGGCAGACCAGAGAAAAACAAGTATGCAAGTTTGACCTCCGGAATTAATAACAAAAGAAAAAAAATGAGTTGGAGAGTTTAGCTGACGCGATTAACGCAGTGGGGTCCGAACATCGCATTGTGAGTAAATAAAAAAATGGTCCGATTTAAAGGCAACTTCTCCATGATGGACATCCAGTGTTAACTAGCCTCCAGCGCCTTGACTGTAGCTCTGCACAAGAAGTTCATCCAGGCGCGAAATGTTCGTCCCAAACGGAGCCTGATATCTGTCAAGGTTTTTTTTTTCTTCACTTTTGTCAATTGGTAAAGTTTTGTTCCTGGTCACAGTCGCCACTGGCTTGCTTGGTTTGGGACTTGTGGAGCTGTGCATTGATGGATTTGCTCTTCAGTGTTTGGACTTTTTTAAGCAGTAATGTTTAAACCACAGTGAACTGAACTAAACTAAACTTTAACTTTTAAATCTGGACTGACAGTTTTATTTTACTAGAACTTCTATGTTGAGCTGCTTTGACACAATCTACATTGTAAAAGCGCTATAAAAATAAAGATTGAATTGAAATGATTAATCAAAGTTCAACATTAACTAATGCATTACTAATATCCAAAGTTGTGCTTTTTACCATTGTGCCGTGAGTAAACAGGAACTAACATGGACTAGCGTTTTTAAACTTAATTAAAATTAACTTACGTTAACAAAGATTATAAACACCATTATAAACTTATTACTAATAGTTTGTTCATGTTAGTAAATACATTAACTAACATTAAGTAATGGCGATTATCTTAAAGTGTTACCTTTTTATTTATGATTATATACAGTGCATCCAGAAAGTATTCAAAGCGCTTCACCTTTTCCACATTTTTTATGTTACAGCTTTATTCCAAAATAGATTCAGTTAATTTATTTCCTCAAAATTCTATACACAATACCCCGTAATGACAGTACTGTATGAAAAAAGTATTGAAAAAATTAAAAACCTGAAAAAATCACATGTACAAAAGTAAATACTTTGTTGATGCACTTTTGGCAGCAATTACAGCCTCAAATCTTTTTGAATATGATGCCACAAGCTTGACACACCTGTCTTTGAGAATTTTTGCCCATTCCTCTTCACAGTACCTTTCAAGCTCTATCAGGTTGGATGGGAAGCGACGGTGTACAGCCATTTTCATATCTCTCCAGAGATGTTCAATAGGATTTAGGTCTGGGTTCTGGCTGGGCCACTCAAGGACATTCACTTAGTTGTTGTGAAGTCACTCCATTGATGTTTTGTATTGTGGGTATTGAGTGTAGAATTTTAAGGAAATAAATTAATTTAATCTATTTGGGAATAAGGCTGTAATATAAAAAATGTGCAAAAAGTGAATCGCTATGAATACTTATCGGACGCACTGTAACTGATTTTATTCTGGGTTTTATTTTTATGATAGTACTTTAAATTAAAACTTTTAGGTAAAAGGGAACTTTTGGAGAACTTGGTGAAAGTTTGTTCAGTTTATTAACAAAAATACAGCAAATCAATTTGATTAACCTTTTAGCTGGGAATGGTGCTTTGGCAGATGGTGTAGTTACAACATCTACCAGCAGGGGCTAAAAAACCCACAGTAAGCAGACAGCTTGACCCCTTAAAAAACAAAAATAATAATAATAATATGAGGAGAGAGGGGAAAAAAAGGAGAAAGGAGAAAAAAAGATAAGGGTAATGTCCTGTCTGAAAGTAGTACATACTGTAAGTCTAGGTCTTGAGAGGGGTCATCTACGACAGGATTTATGTATTTAATACAGACCCGGTTAAGGCTTTCAGCACAGGCTCATCCGATAAGAATAATGGAAATATCAGGAAAAACAGCCTGAAGGGTACAAAGAGACTAAACGCATCAATGCGATCATAGGAGGAGGGGCGGATGAAAAATTGATGTATTGCTGAGGTTATAATCATCCATGAAAGGGTAGGCCATCCCTATCCTAGTCACAAGGGTTCAAAGATCAAATGTAAGGAGCTTTGGATAGGATAAGAGATTTGGTGTAAATAGCGGAGAATGCTGTATGACACCCGTTCACATTCTCAAATAGGAAGAACTGCAGAAGGTCAATTGTGCTCGCAACCACTCAATTGTTTTTACAAGTGATTTCTCATTCTTTAAGATCTAGGTCAATGGGATTATGAATACATTTTTCATCACACATGTCAGAACAAAAAAAGTTTGAATCCTAAAAAGAGGAAACGCAAGTGCTTCAGTAGCTCTCCTGAGGATAGCTCCTGGTTTGGGAGAAATCTGGTGCGTAGGATCAGAGCAGAATAAATGAATACTCACCCACGATTTCACTTGATTCCTTGTTGTAAAGTTTCTTATTCCAGAACAGCAACCTCAAAAAGGGAAACGAGGTCAGCAGCACCAGGCAGATTCCCAGGAACATGTAACCCGTAAAGGCCGCAAAGTCAATCCCCTGGAGGAAAAAAAGGGGGCGGGTTAATTTTCACCCTTTTTAAAAGCAACTTATGCAATTAATTTGCTGCGGCATTCCATGAAATCTATTCTAAGCGCTAAGTAGAGATCGCATCCACTTTACTGGCACTCCATATAATGTGGATGTAGGCCTTGATTACATTTCATCAACAGAATCATATCCAGCAGTTTTAATGCTTGCATCTTGATGCATTTTAACACTTATATAAGATTTAAATGAGCACCTGCATGTGGCATAAATCCTCTTAAAATGCTCTCGACTATTTATTAATTTTCATTCACGTCGATGAGAGCACGCATCACTCTCAGCTAAAAATATGAGCTTCGGATGATATTTCCTTGCCTGTTCATCCATCCCGTCTCTCATCATAACCAGATGGCATAACATTTTCAAATGGCACCACTGATAGAGATGTGTAAAATAGATCCGTGCGGCCTGAAATCTAATCCGACGACTTATCTCTCAATATACGGCTGCTGTGTAACCCATTGTAGTGAGGTATCATTGCTTGTTTATACAATGGCTTTTGTACATACAAGATATTTTACAAGCAGAGCCAAACAGAGGCTTGCTTGCATACAATTGGGAAACTTTCACAAGGCTACTGAGGCAAAATACAAAGTCATAAACATTTTTGTATGCTGATTTCGAAAATCTAGTTTAAAATCCTACAAGAAATGAATATTAATAATAATAATAATAATAATAATAATAATAATAAATTGTTATGACCCTGTCTTTCCTTTTCTTACCTTTAGATGTCCTCGCAGTGTGACGTCACAGTTAATTAGTTGATTTATGGATGGAGGTTGTACATATTTGAATTTTATTTGGTGGACCGTTATTCCCCAGAGAGGCCACTTTGTAGGGCAATAACATCAAAAACCTGACACCTGCTGTGAAAATTCTAAAAGGCGATACCACGAGAATTGTGGGGCACTAAAACAATACATTTTCTGATCCGAAAAGAAGATCCGGAAATCAGCTGTTCAACTGTTTTTTTTAAATCACACTAAGCCCCCCTTCCTGACCTTTACTTTACCTTCTCCACCAAAGCAATCACTCAAACTCCATACAGAATGTCCAAGTTTTGAATATGGTGTATCTTTTAGCTCTATATTCATGTTTGGCATCATTTTAAATGTATTTGTGTGGTTGGTAAAATGGTCTCAATTTCACTGTAATATTTCAATTAAAAATTTTAATTGTATATGTTGATCTGGTCTTCGGCTTTGATAAGATCTTTGCAAAATTCTCCACCTCAAAGAGAAGGGTTCACAACCTTAAACTCACTACCAGGCAAGGACCTTTGTGAAGCTTTTGTTGTCTTGAATGTATGGCTGTTTGTTCTGAGTTGAGTATTTAAGGGAAGGGTGCAGGTCTTGTAGGCAAGATGCCCCATTGCAGTGTTTGAGCATTTTCATCAGTGCCCCCTGAATTATTAGCATATCTATTTATTTTTTTCTTCTATTTCTGTTTAATGGAGTGATTTTTTTCCCAACACATTTCTACACATAATAGTTTTAATAACTTATTTCTAACAACTGATTTATTTTATACAAGCCATGATGACAATAAATTTTTTTTACTAGATGTTTTTCAAGACACAAGAATTCAGCTTAAAGTGACAATTAAAGGCTTAACTAAGGTTAACTAGGCAGGTTAGGGTAATTGTGCAAGTTATTGTTTGTTCTGCAGAAAATCATAAATAATAGCTTAAAGGAGCTAATAATTTTGACATTAAAATGTTTTTTAAAAACAAAACTGCTTTTATTTTAGCCGGAAAAAAACAACTTTTATTTTAGACTTTCTCCAAAAGAAAAAATGTTATCAGACATACTGTGAAAATTTCCTTTCTCTGTTAAGCATAATTTGGCAAATATTTAAAAAAGAAAAAAAAAATCAAAGGGGGGCTAATAATTCTGACCTTAGCTGTATAATTGATGTTGTACATTTCTAAATTGGCTTTTTATTCTTTGATTCTGTAATTGGCATGATACACTTTCATCTGGAAAATAAAGTGTTAAGTATTAATTCATTCTGAATTCTCCTGAAATCTTTTAAATCCAATAGATTAAGTGGAATCTGTGCTACCATTATGTTGTGACATGATTTTTTAGATTGTTAAGGTGCATTTGACTGTACGGAGAAGTTTGGCACGGCAGCATGAAGCCCTTTTAATCATTAAATCACTCAAATTAGCAAGTTATATGGAAATGACTAAATTAACTCTTTTAGTATGAGTGAGCAGGAAGCAACCAGACTACTTGAGTATTAGTTAACCCTACATCATCTGACTATTTTCAGAGTGTCGAGATAATGTACGTGAGTAGAAATGCAATGCCGGGGCGTAGAAATCAACGTTTTGTCCCTAACGAACGCATAACTGAAGAGCATGGGATCAGATATAAATCAAAACTCTAAATTAAGTCATGAATGATGAATGTGATCCGATTTTCCAATTAGAAATACAGTGTAAATTTGACTGTGGCTTAATATTGGAGTCAGATTAAATTCAGAGCTGAAAAACAAATAGAAATAAATTTTAATAACTAACAGAATTTTTTTAAGGAGCACTAGAAAAGGCTTACATGCATTTAATCTTCGACCATGCTGTTAGTTTTGTCATTGAGCTAATAGATGGACTTCTACACCATCTTATGCTTTTTGTGTTATAGAACGTTGTATTTTGTCGAGATAATTTCAGTTGGTTTACTTATTTAATTCAAATCTTTAGACAGTTTGGTATATTTTAATATTCCTTTCAATAAATCTTTATTTCATTACATACTTCTTGAGTCTCTGATCCTTTTAGAGGGTACGGTCGAGAGAGAGCTGGCTGTAAGAACAACAACAACAACAACGACAACAACATAATAATTATAATAATAATAATAATAATAATAATAATAATAATAATAATAATAATAATAATAATAATAATAATAATAATAATAATAATATAGTATATACAGTTGAAATTAAAATTATTATCCCCTTTGTATTTCTTTTTTCTTTTTTAAATATTTCACAAATGATGTTTAACAGAGCAAGGAAATTTTCACAGTATGTCTAACAATAGTTTTTCTTCTTCAGAAAGTCTTAATTGTTTTATTTCATCCAGAATAAAAGCAGTTTTTAATTTTTTAAAAAACCTTTTTTAAGGTCAAAATTATTAGCTCCTATATTTTTTTTTTGATAGTCTATCTAGTCTATCTTTGATAGTCTATCTTTGAACAAATCATCGTTTTTCAATAACTTGCCTAAATCCTCTAACCTGCCTAATTAACCTAGCTAAGCCTTTAAATGTCACTTTAAGCTGAACAGAAGTGTCTTGAAAATTATCTAGTTAAATATTATTTACTGTCATCATGGCAAAGATAAAATCAGTTATAAAAAAAATGAGTTATTAAAACTATTATGTTTAGAAATCTTCTCTCTGTTAAACAGAAATTGGGGAAAAACAAACGGGGGGTTAATAATTCTGACTTTAACTGTATAATAGTCTCTTCTTTCATCAAGGCTGTATTGATTTGAATAAATCCTATAATAGTAATTGCACAGTGCTGTAAATTTGGTCAAAATACATTATTTGCGATACATCAAACCATTCATTTTAAAAAAAAATTCATCCATCTTTAACCCTTAGCGTTCAGGTTTTAGCCAAATTTGTGTAGACAGGGTTTTTTCTTTTACAAAAATTAATAAAAGATAAATTATCAAATTGTGTTACAATAGACACAGTCTCTATTATTTTGTAAAGGACTTTTGTAAACTGGCAAAATATGGGATAATTGCATCCCTGTTGTAGTTCTGCTCCCCACATAGCTTGGGTTTGGCAGAAACCCAGGACTTAGAGATACTTCTTAGAAATGAAAAAAAAGAGAAAATTGGAGGGGGGAAAACAACACTGATGCTGGTTTTTGTCAGTATAAAATCCCTAAATCAGCTCACGGTACTAAATCCTACACTCTTAAAACAAAGCCATGACTGACAAAAACAGAAATGAATCATGGCCTTGCATGATTTAGAAACATAAAAAAATAACTGTGAGTAAGCAAACAACAAACAAACAAACAACATGTCCAATCTCAGATGCTAGAATGAGACAAAATGTGAATGGGGCTGAGATGTGAAGACTGGAGCACAGTGACCTCTACAGGAGATCAAGAACAAGCAGTACTAGGAGAGAGAAAGATGAATGCACTGAAACGACAGCAAGGACAGCAAGGACAAATAATTGCAAGGTGAGAAAAACTACATTGATCTGAAATAAAAGCAATAGAAAATGAAAATTCTGTTGAAAACCGCAAGAACAAATCATTCTTTTTGAAACAGACCTTTTTGCTGATCTGTTCTAAAAAGAAATTAACCTATTATTTGAATTTAAATGCAAATGAAATGCAAAATGAAATAATTTGATTCATTTTTTGAACAACTGGCATCGTGTCTACCCTGAACACGAACGGCACGACAAATTCAATACAACAATAAAGCAATGATTATGTCTACACTGGAATGAATACATTGCAAGGGACAAATATTTAACAGTATAGCATTCAATTGCAAAGGACAAATATTCAACAGTAGCATTCAACTCCTCCAAGTGCTCTTGCTTCTTTTGACAACGAGGACAAATGGATTTGAAATGTTTGTTATGTAACTCTCAGTGTATACATGTTGTTGCTGCTGCAAAGTGAGTGACAAGGTCTTGTCCACTGCAGTTTCAGAAATAAAGGTACTGTGGTGGCACCTTTTCAAAGGGTACACTTTTGTATTTATAAATCCACCTTTAATGTACAATATGGACATGTATTTTTGAAAAGATACCGCCCAAGCTTTTATACGTTCACATCTGAGAGTGTGTAGACATTCACTAAAAGCATTCCAGATATTTTGAACATTAAAAACTGTCATTTTAAGATGATTTTTATTTTTGGGTTATTCCTACTATTCTGCGCCATTTCAGAGTAGTAACC